GGCACCGGCCAACGGTCGCCGCCGGGAGGGGGGGCTTTGCGCATGCGCGGGGCGGGCTCTGGCGCGGCCTCATGGCGGGGGTTAAAACAAACCGGGAGCAATGGGGCAAAAGGAGCAGCAGGAGCGGTGTGAGCACGTGGCGCTGCCCCGCGGAAGGGGTCTGCCCGGCTGCTGCTGGGTAACGTGAATGATCCCCGAGTTAGCGGGTGAACGGTGCTAGAGCGGATCCCCGGCTGCCTCTCGTGGAAGGGAGGCGCTGCGGGGTGCGCTGCGGCGCGGGCTCCAGGGAGGATTCGGGGGAATGCTGGGGTGCCAGGGAGCAGCTCCTACGGACTGTCTGCAGCTCGTACCGTAAAGTGCTCGTTAATCCAGTGCTAGAAGAACAGTAGGTGCAAAATGACTGAGAAATAGAATTAAGCTCTCATTTTTAATAGCAAGGGCGATCTTTCATAGTATTTTGGCAATTTCTTTATTTTAATGAGTATCTTAGTTTTCAAAGTGATTACTTGTCCTAAGCAAGTTGTTCTTTAGCTGTGGCATCCTGTGGACTAGAAGCTGAAGTTAAATACAGGAAGTCTTATGACTGTGAACCTTTTTCAGAGCAAAAACTGCACTTTTTAAATGAGCTCAGCAGAGAATCCTTGCCAGCTGTATATTTGTTTTCAGTAATTGCATCCAGTTGAGGTTGGGAAATTTAGTAGGAATTAAGGCTAGATTGGTAGGCATCTCATCCTGGAATTGTGAGTAGTCATGCTATTTATGAGCTGTTTGTATTTTGTCAAACACTATTACAGGGTGCTTAGAGGTGAGCCATACAGCGTGCAAAGATTGTACTTCAGTTACATGCCAAGTAAATTCATGTAATACTATGTTACTAATATTTCAGTAGAGCACTTAGTCTTATTTGTTACTCAAGCTGTTAATGTAGTTTAAGGACATGCACATTTTAGACTACTTCTCACCACAAATACCATAGAGGTACCTCCTTCCTTTAATAGGAGAAAGAAAAGGCAACCTCATTAGTTCGTATATTAGCCAAACCTACTTGTAACATTGATGTGCTCAGCTAGGTTTTTTAATAGGCAGCGCTTGGAAAAATTGTTATTACCTTGGGAATAGCGAGGGAAAATAGTTCTAACCAGAGACCTCCCTGCAATGCTGGTGCTGTTAGCAGCAGTTGGTGTCCTGGTGGCGTAGATGTTCTGTAAAGACTGTTAGCAAATATTTAAAGGAATTTTGTTGGGGAGATAATATTTTTATTAATCAGCTGAAGTATAGTTGGATGCTCCTTGGGTCTTACAACAAGGGGCCTGTCTTCTATACCTACAATTTTATAGTTGGAGGAGATGTTGCTTCCTGCAGTTGTGGTTTCCGTGCCCAGTAGGTGGTAGTGGTGCCGCATAAAATGTCTGTATCATTAGATGTATTTAAATAGCAATGCAATAAACTATTCTTTGGAAAGACCAGCCTTATGTCTTTTTTGTTTTCCTCTCTTCTCTCTCTGAAGATAACTGGATTCAGTCTTTTAAAACATGAGAACTATGCTGAAAAAGTACAGTTAGATGATGGCTATTCAGCATTTCTTAAAGTTAAATCCTGAAGCAGTGCAGGGTCAGATGGAAGGCAAGTAAAGTCTGAGAGCTGAAGAACAAATAACTAATTTAATGCTGCTGGCTTTGAGCCTCCTCTGTATGGATAAGTTATGTTCAACACAAGGACTTAGTAAGTAACAAAAACTTGTTTTTTTACAAAGCACTCTGTCCTCATGGCAGAAATTGTGATCCAAACCTACACCAAAATGGAGATAGTGGAATTTTTTTAGGCTTTTCTGGTGGTTGGCTTCTGGCAGGCATTTTATATCAGGCTTGAAAGGCATTAGTATACTCACTTGAATTGAACCACTAAGTAAGTATATTAATACTAAGATTCTGAGGTTTATTTTCCTGAAGCGGATTTTTTTTTTCCGCTAATGTGTTTCTCTGAGCAAAGTTGAAATTTTTTATTTTTTATCGCTTGTCATCATGCTCTTATTACAGCTGACGACATTGTACATAGTTAAAATTATATAATGTTTTCCATTGCAAGGCATTGGTTTTGTTGTTTCTGCAAAATTTGTCTTTTTTTTTTCCCCCTTCTATGCTGTTTGTCTCTGGCTGATCTTTGCAAAGCGTCAGCAGTTTGACACTTAGGAAAATCAAGTTAGAGAAGAAAAATGTTGATTGGCAGGCACGCAATGAAATATTTAACTGTTTCGTTTGGAGATTTTTGTGCCTCTTTGTTTTGGAGCAGGGACTTGAAATTTGGTGTGGATGTACTGCTTATTTTATGGATGTGGTGTTTTTGCTGTTACACTACGAAATTGCGCTTAGTTGCAAGGTTTTTAAAGACGTGTTTGTGCAGAGGTTTGCTTGGATGCAGAGTTAGTACTTAAAGAGGCTGCTAGACTCTACAGCACTGGGAGCCAGCGCCAGTTGTGGTGCTAAGCGGTGAAGCTGAGAGCTCAGAAATGCCCTGAGCGATTACAGCAATTATGCCCCATCAGTGAAAAAGGCGCCGTGACTAAAACCAGGGAGTAAAAGTGATTCAGAATTGGATGAGGAATAAGAGGCATGGTGTGGGCACTGCAGAAAGAAGGGGGAAAAAAAGTTAGAATTGGGAAGAGCAGGCAAAAAGCCTCTATTTAGGACGCCATCTGCATCAGAGTCTAAGATTCTTGGATTTCTGTTATCTCGCTGGTGACAACTTGGTGAAACCTCCTAGCTTACCTAGGAGGTGACAACTTACTAATATCACCATTTACTTCATCAATGCAAGTGGCAGGACTGTGATGAACCTCAGCCAGGCCGACACAACACGCAGCTTGTTGAGTATTTTTGTCAGCGTGACACAAGTTGATGTGAAGGAGCCACGTCAAGGAGCAGCTTCTTGGAGGCGCCCGTGCCGCTGCGTGAGCAGCCTGTCCGCGAGGGGTGCCCTGGAGGCTCTGCTCCTTCCCGTTGCGGAGCTGGGAAGTCTGTTGTTGAGACTCCCTATGTCTCTTTAAGAGTTTTGAATGACAAGTTGGGAAGATGAGGGGAGCTTGGGAAGCTGGGAGGAAGGGTTATGGCAGTAGGTAGTTGAGCCTGGGGTGATGATGAAGAGCTTGCACTTGCGAGCCAGAGGTGTGGGAGGTTTGGGAAACAGGAACTCAAAGTCAGCTTGGAAACAGCGTAGGGGTGTTTGTGTGTGACCTGGCAAGTAAGGAACAGGGAGTGCTGCAGGGATGAGCTGTGGGACGTACGGGGGAGAGGGGAGCCGAGTACTGCGGTGGTGAGGGCAGCCAGAGGGAGGTCACGGTGAGGAGGGGAGAGCGAGAGCTGGGGGGAGTACGTGACGGGGAGAGGTGGCCATGGGCACAGCTGGCAGAGGTAATGAACTGCCTGTGCAGACATTTCATCAGGGAACTTTGCTTTCACTTTGTCACCTACTTCACTTTGCCCTTTAGTAGGGCAAGCGCGTTGCCTTACAGGAATATTAGTGTGAAGCCAACCCCCTGAAATCCCAGCGTTACGGCTGCCTGTGTTGCCTTAGTCTGACCGCTTCTGCCAGTGCATCAGGCTACAGTCTTTAATTACATTATCACACGCTTTCATCCTCCTCCTCGTAATCGCTGTTCTGTTCAGCACACAGGATTTACAGTAATCAAGCTTGTGTAATCAAAAAATAGGCTATTGTATGTAGACCCCACATCGTTTTGCTGAGCCTTAAAGGAAAGGAAGCTGAGAGAAGAGGAAGGTTACTTTGTAGGAGGGCAGCAGACCTCCTCCATTAATGGCCTGAGCTGGGACCCTTGAACAGAAGGTGGCCACGTTATGGCCACAAGGGGCTTGTGCATGGGGAAAAAAGAGCTCAGGGTTCAGACATAGAGCAACTTGGGCAATAGCACTTGACATTCAAAAAGAGGTCGGATTCAGCTGCAGGTTATTCTGCTGCCACTGGAGCAAGGCTGTTATGCCTTGAGGAGCTGTGCCATGCGTTTGTAGGTGTTGAGAAACCGTAGCATTGCTGTCGCTGCAGCTGCTGCTCCCCATGGGCACTGCTTAGAGCATGAAGATAGCTGTTGTGGGACAGTCAAAATGGAAAGAAGTGATTTGAGATAGTGAGGCTTATTTACAAAGAGGGTACTGGGTCCCTGCTGCCACTTCAGAAGTTAGCGAGATCAGAGCTTTACTTAGTCACATTTGTCTCTACTCTCCTTTAGAGTCAGGGCTAATTAAGCCAGCCTTATGTGGTGGGGTGGTTTTTTTTGGTTTGTTTGTTTTTTGTTTGTTTTTTAATGTTGTGATACAGTAGTGATGAGTATCAAATAAGAGCCAGTAAGAAAATAAAGTTATCTCTTCATAATAGCGTTTGAATACTTTGTGGCAAAAATACAGATTACAAAGAACAGAAAAGATGAAAATGTTTATTTAGTGCGTTCTGCTGACCTCAGACCGGATAGTGAAAATCTGGCATCAGAGCAGTGTCAGGGGGCTTCTGAAGCTTGACTTCATCTTGCCCTATATTAATTCTATCCCCTAAACCTAGAAGATTCACAAGGTCAATGTTTTAATGCTGAACCAGGAAAGGGGTGTGTGTGTGTGTTGTTACTGCATGTAAGTCTTTAGAAGTGTTGATGTGTTACAT